CAGCAGGCCAGGCAGCATCAGAGGAGCAGGAAATCTGATGTTTCAGAAGAAGGGTCCCGACCCGAAATGTCAGCTTTCCTGCTCCTCTGATGCTGCCTGGCCTGCTGTGTTCCTCCAGCTCCACGTGTTATGTCTTAATTAAAAGGTGAGGTGTTTTTGCCCAAACTTGCACTGAGCTCTGTCGGAACACTGCAGTGGGTCAAAGGCAGTGAGGGAGCCAGGTGTCGATTCAAAATACCAGGGCCTGAGAAGTTCAGGATCTTACTTGCAGATTGAATGGAGTTGCTCCACGAAGCAATCAGCCGAATGGTCTCAATGTGGATTTTACCAGTTTCAAAATCTCCCCACCTCCGACCTTATCCCATGACCAACCCTCCCTCTCATCCCCGCCTCCTTGAGCTGATACTACCCAACACAACCTGTCGATCTTCTCTCCCACCTATCTGCTCCTCCCACCTCACTGACCAATCCCCACCACTACCTACCTACACTCACCTATCACCATCCCATCTACCTTCCCCAGCCCCACCCCTCTTCTCTCTATTTATGTCAGAGCTCCCATCCCCCTCCCCCATTTCTGAAGAAGGGTCCTGACCCGAAATGTTAGCTTTCCTGTTCCTCTGATGCTGCCTGTCCTGCTGTGCTCCTCCAGCTCCACACTGTGTTAAATCTAAATCAGCCGATCTCTGTTTGTAGAGCAGCGTGTGTGAGAAGCAAATTGAAAAAGTGCAGTAAATTGCTGTTTCACCCGAAGGAGAGTTTTTAGTCTTGGACAATGCAGAGAGAGGAAACTGCGGAGTATTTCCATGATTTTCGGTTCATATTTCTTTTGCTTAGGTGGGACAATTTGGATAAATTAATTTTAATGACTGTGACTAGCTACTATGGGTCTGTGGTCAGTGGACCTAACCTATTAGAGACCATGATCCAGTAGTCCTGTTCCAGGCTTTAGAATCTTCAGGGATTAGACTAAATTTGATCTTGCCTTCTCATTTCAAATTCAGTCAGAAATGAGGATACCCCTAATCTCTATGCGCTCTTAATACAGGTGAAATGGTGATTGTTTTTATTTCTTCTTGGGATGAGTATGTCACTGGCAAGGTCAGCATTTATTACCTGTCCTAGTTGCCCATGCTGCCATCCATATGGTGTAGGTACACCCATAATGGTGTTAGGAAGCAAGTTCCAACATTTGGACCCAGTGATAGTGAGGGAAACCAGCACATTCATCTCTGCTATTACTACTTTTAGAAGGTAGGCCATCAGGTCCTGTGGTCTTGTCATTATTTTAGTCCCTTAAGTACCTCCAATATTTTTCAATGATGATATTGATATCCTTAAGCTCCTCGTGTTTCTTAGTGCATGGGTTATTCTCTATTTCTGGCTGTAATTTTTATCTTCTACTGTGAAGATGGGACAGAAAAACATTTATTCAATGTCTCTGCCAGTTCCTTATTCCCCATGATACTTTCTCATGTGATTTTCCTGAATTAAATAAAAAACTAAAGCTTTCCACCTTAATTTAGCCTGTGACAAAGTAACTGCCCGATGCATCGGTTTTGCTCTTTCTGCACTTTATCAAAATAGATTAAACTTTCTCTCTCTCCCATAAATGTTTCTATGACCAGCTCAGAAGTCATCTTTTCTGTCTACTGTTCAGGTTTCCAGTATTTCTACTTTGCTTTACATTAAATCAATGACAGTATCAGCATGATTACACAAGGGAAGGTGATGGTGATGCCACTAGGCTAATTTCTTCCCCAAGTGTAACAGAGCCTGCAAAAGCTGCATTGGTCTTTACAGCCACCTATGGACTCACCCTGAGAGTAGAAGAGAGTCATCCTCGTGTGCAAGGGACCACCAATGATGAAGATGATGAGTAATCCAAAACACCAGGTTAATGTTCTGGGTACATGGTTCAATTCCCATCATGGATAATGAAGTGTAATTTCAATAAAAATCTGGAATTAAAATCTTGTCTGACCATTGTTGTAAAATCCAAGGTGGTTCACTAATGTTCTTCTGGGAAGGAAATCTGCAACTCTCACCTGGCCTGACCTACATGTGGGTCCAGTCCCACAGTAATGTGGTGGACTCTTCTAATTGCCCATGGCCTAACCAGTGACGTCTCAGTGGATAAAAAAGGCAACCTTGCCATTGCCCCCCCCCCTCGTTATTACCATTAGACCAATGTATATACATATTTATATGTGTGTACTGGTTTAGAAGTTTAGGTTTGAAGTTCCCATGGAAGAAACTTCTTCTGCCATGACCCAGTCTGGTTTGGTTTGTCCTAATCCCCTTAGCGTTGGTTTAGTTGGTAAACAGTGTCTGCTCTACTCTACAAGTAACCTGGATGTAGACAATGTAAAGGATTCAAACATTTTATTTAATCTACAGATACGTTATTCCAGTCTAAATGCTTTCCTCTTAGTTTCCTTCTCAGATTATTTGCCAAGGTCTCGATTACAACATCGCTGACCAATTTATATTAATACTTTACTCCACATTTAGCGCCTTCACATTCCCTAAAACAAGGAGGCTTCCATTTAATGATGCCTCACTGATTCCATCATCGATGTTGAATGTTTCAGACAACACTGTTCATTTGCCTATCTAATGTAATACCTGGATGAGCCAAAATGTCCTCTGATTATTAAAAAAAGAACAGACTGAGCACAGTCTTGCACAGGCTCCTTATAATCATCGTTTATTCTGGTAGACTGTCAGGCTACAGTTCACTATTAATGCATATCTGTGTGAATGGGTTGCTACATTTCAGACAATTTTTAAAAGCTCCCTATCTTTCTTAATTAGCCATCATATTTCAATAGATTTCACAACCCAAAACAATAATAAAAGCTTGGTCCCCAAAAGATTGCTGCCAGCAGTCTTTTATTTGTTGAATTAATAATAGTTTAACAATTTGGCAACCTTTTGAGGACACTGTTAATATACTGGTCACAATTGGGACTCATTATGTTGACAATTTTTTAAAAAAATTCGTATTGATTTAGAAACAGGAAATGGAAATGGCTGTGAATTAATAAATGCCACCTTCTAATTTGATATTTTGGAATTGTTATAGCAAAGTCTGTTATCAGGTTATAGGATTTCATTAATAAGAGTTTGGTAAAGCTTTTTCAAAGTCATTACACCCATTGGTCCTGTTGCCTATCTCTGGGATTGTGTGTAACAAGTGGGTTATTTCATGAAGTTTGTAAGACAGCAGATCAAAATCACAGGCTGTTTCTTTAGCTTTCTATCACTGAAATGTTTAATGGATAGTGGGAGTAAAATCGAATGGGGTTAATGCAAAGGTCTTTCTGGCAATACTTTATGTTATGGTTTAAACTTTCATATTATAAATCTTAAATCAAATAGTAAGATGGGTGTGTATTTCTAATTGCAGAGGTGGTACAGAGGTCTACCTTTAAGTAGTTTTATGATTTAGGTCGGCTATAATATCTTCTGTGCCCTTTAAGAGTTGAAACCACTTGTTGTAATTCTAGACTTCAAGATACTTTAGTTCATGGAACTTGTTTCAGCGGATAAGCTTACTTACCAGAGGGGCTCTCAAGATTCATATGCCTTCATGACTATGATGATGAACAAAATGTTGTAATATGACCCATAGCTGCTTGTAAATTATATCCTGCATCTTCATATGCCTGATCTAAGGAAAGGGTAAGGCAGACTGCAGTGTCCAGTATCTGATACTGTATAAAACAGACCATAAAGTAGAGCTCAGAATACCTCTCTGAAACAAAGACCTATTGATTGCAGATTTGTCACAGATACTTCCAATTTATGGCAACATTGATTTTGGTGGATTGCATTTATTGTGCCTGAAAATGGAAGGGAGTTTTTGCTTTGTACAAAAAAAATGCATGTTTTGGGAAAAGAAAAAGGAATGGGCTAATGTTAAATTTGAGTGGAAAATAGTTGCCTTTGTGTATAGAAGCAGTGAAAGGAACTGCATTGGGAACAGATTAGAAGAGGAAAAACTGACATTCATGGAGCAGAGTTGATGGCGTAAAAGTGTTGCAATGCACTTTCCAGCCAATGAAGAATATTTAGATGTGTAATCTAAAAGAAACACTGCAACCACGCTGTAGGATATGTTACAACAGGCAGACAGCCAGCCAAACCAAATCAGCCTTTCTACATCTCTGTTCGCAACACAGTAAAATTAAAACATCAAAGATCCCCAAATAGTCACCCTGGTGGTTCCTAACCAGACTTTCGAATAACCAATCCCAGACTCTGTGAATAATTAATTTCCAGACACCAGTTTTGTAGCTTAAACAAAGGATTTAATGATTTATTAGATACACAATAACTTTAGCAGAGAGAAAATGAAACAACATGGTAAGCTGATTAATATCTGTGCTTTAAACACCAAACATTTGTTTTCAGCCCCTATTCATATAAAAGACAGAGAGACAAACAAGTGTAGTTAAGGGATAAATAAAAGAAAAGTAACAAATCTGGTCAGATTACATGAAAAGCTTCCACAGTGCTTCACAATAGTTTCACAGGCATAAATGTGGACTCCTTGGCTGTTTTCTTCCTAAAATATTGATCAGGGCCAACATCTCAGTTCACCCAGGCAAAGGCAACAATACTTCTGTCTCAACTTTCTACTCTTTGGGCTTCTGGAAGCTGGTGTAGCATTTTAGGCAGGAAGCTTTCAAATCTTCATGCTCTCTCAGCATTAGCTGAGAACGTTCCCTCTGAAAATACAGTTTAAAAAAAAACTTCAATTCTGGTTCCACCCTGATAGACTGATCCACTCTTCTCAAGGCAATCTCAATTTCCATTCAACAACTGCCAGCTACTTGAACATAGGGCCTCTTCCAGACTTGTCAGAATTCTCACATACTAACCTCATTAATAGCCAACTTTTGCTATCTGTTTACACAATATTCTTCCTGGGGTCACAGTATTTTGGAACATTTTTAATCAAGGCTCAGCCTGCGACCAGCCTCCAGGCCTGATCTCACAAATAAACAAAGCATGTTTGGCCTGTTCTTTTCCTTTTACTACAAGCTGTCCCAAATTCTGAAAGACATTTCCAGGTCACAATTCAAAATTGATAGAAGAATAAGAATAAAAATAATGAAAAATCAGCGAGGATTCCAGAAGATAATGTACAAAGTGAAAGTATGTGCTTAGCAAATACATGATTTGGTGACATTGGCATTGAGCAGTAATATCACAGGAAGAAGTTTTGTCAGCAACAAATTCAACAGAAACTTTTCAATCAATCCTTGATGATTTATGGTTTTTGCTGGCAAGGAAAGCACCTGATGCCCATTGCTAATCACCGTTGAATTGAGTGACATGCTGGGTACATAAGAGGGCAGTTTGTTGTGATGATATTGCCTGGGTCTGGAGTCATATGTTGTAGACCAGGTAGAAGCAGAAGATTTCCATTCCTAAAGGATATTAGTAAACCACATGTTTTTAAGTAATTGTAGATGATCATTTTTCTGCTTTTTACAACTTTAAGAAATTAAATATAAATTCCACCAGGTGCTGTAGTGGGATTGGAACCCATGCCCACAAAACAGTAGCTTGGGCCTCTGGATTGTTAGTCCAGTAACATTACTACAATGCCACCATAACTTGAATCTGTAAATTAGTGGTAAGATAGACAAGTGTTTCAAGGAACTTTACAACCCAGCAGCAGACTGTAGGTAAACTACACATACTCCACTGAGGAAGGAGGGATGAGGAATGTTGCCAAAAGATTGGTGAGAGATTCCTGATAATACTGCCTCTGGTATATCACAACTGCTTACCTAAAAGTACAATGTTCTTGGCCACTTCATTTATTGAAAATACCTTCTACACAATTTACTCTTCTCCCTAGCAGTTTGGTGTCATTCCCTGGAGTTAGTTTTCTCAGTAGCTTCACTGATTCTTCTGTTTGATTATCATGTGAAGGATGAATTCTGATGAACATATTGATGAACAAACCCAGGGTGGGGGACAGGAGGATGAAGTGGGAGGGCAGGATTCTATATTCTGTTGTTAAAGAGAAAAAAAAGCACATTGCACACTTTATGGCTCCATTTTCATCAAATTGTAATGTTATGACATTTAAAACTTTTTTACCTGAACATAGAAACTATATTCACGTTTGCTGGATGTTCACTGGGAAATGGCCTATTGATCAGGAACGTATAGTTTATAAACTGGGAACTCTTTCTGACCTTTACCAGGTTGAGGATATGAGCCCTCTCACCATGCTGGAAGAGGTTACCACAGTGGAAAGCAGGCAGGATGTGGCAGTAACGCTAGTAAAGATCTTCCTGGGTCAGGGCCTGGTGGTGCCGTTTCTTGACTACCTGAATATGAGAGAAGTGAACAAAACAAGTAAGTACTGAATTCAGCAAATGAATGTTTTGGACAGTTTGTGAATGAGAAGCAAGATCCACTATTTGTTTGGTTGTGCTATCTGTTACAATAGATCTTTCTTAGTAGATACAAGAGAAACCACTACTCAAGTATAGTTTGATAGGCTAACTATGGTGTTGCTGTTTAATAGTTCACACTTTATCACACATTATTTTAGGGGATAAATTAGAAAGAAAATGACTGGAAGATCCTTCTATCTGCATTTTACAATCAGGAGCAATATTTACATAATGTCAATATAGCTCAACAATATCACAAGTTGGTCCTGTTACTCCATCTCTCAAAAGTAGACAATGAATCTCAAAAAAAAATCAGCCTGTTACACAATTTTGTAACAAATATTTCATGTTTTGAGGAAGATGAGGTGTTTGAGACCCGTTGAGTGGACAAAGTGCATGTAACAACGAGAGCTATAGTCCATGAAGCTTGGTTAGAGGCGTCTGCAGTGACAGAGTTAGAGTCAGTAGTGCCCCTCTGGTGGTGAGGTAACATGGAAAGTGGCATTTACCTTTGTAAATCACAGAAATTATTAACCTTCTTCCTGCGTTGCAGTCCATTATATTTTACCTGGGGCACTGTACTGACCCTGGCTGTGAACTGAGTCCATGCTGGCTGGATCTGGTGGTGTAGTCTCCTTGTCAGTCTGAAGGAAAAAGGCAGCTTTGAAGAGGCCAGTTACATCACTAATAAGCTGAAGGGTGTCATGACAGGTGAACCTTTTGAGATTTTGCTTCCCTCCGGTATAGTGTAAATACAGTATGAATCCAGAGTGAAGGCTCAATGTGATACCACATCTAAGAGAAAAGGAACCATTTCATGAGAGTCTCACTCTGCCTCAGTTTAGAGTCAAATTGCTGTTGAGGCACAAAGTAGTCTCACAATTTCAGTAACGGAAACCAAAAGCTGCTTTGCATCAACGCTTAACGTGTAGTGGGAGTGTGCACTAATATTGTAATCTGCACAGAGTAATCTGACTGTTATAGAGACAATTAATCAGGACAGGGTTTGACATACATCACAGATTTTATTGTTCAGTCAGTTAGAATCATGTTTACAAAGCTGTCACTGTCAAAGGAAGTGATTTCCAGATCATCAACTCTAACTATGGTTTATTAAAGGTTATTTCAGTGCAGAGCTGTACCATGTGATTATTGTAAACTAGATCAACACTTCAACATGTAAATTCATTCAATGGACGTTTAAAAGGATCCTAATGAAATCCAAAGAAGTTGTCAGTTTGTTGACTTTTCAATGGGATTGACTGTTTAACACTGAATGTCTTCATTCAAAGGGTTGCAAATCTTTAGAATTCTCTAACTTAGCGCAAGGGATGCTCAAGCTTGAATATATTCAGGGATGAAACTGATAGATTTTTGAATTCTTGAGGGAAACAAAGGTGATGGGAATTGGGTGAATGAGTGAATTGAGGGCAAATATCAGTCACAATCTTACTGAATGACAGAGAAGCTGTACAGTCGCTGAAATAACTCAAAACAGGCTGGTATCCCATTACCAAGCCACCTTTTATTTACATGTGGAGAGTCCTTGACACCGATCCAGCTCCCTCAGAGATAGCTGTCGGAGTGAACAGGATGTCTGACATTCCTGTTCTTATCTGTCAGCCAGGGCTCCCTGATTGGACCAGATTAACAGCCCCAAACACGGTACTCATTCTATGAGGTTCACCTGGCTGACCTTATTGCAATCTCTATAGTCTTCTCCTGCTTTTCGTTCTTATTTGTTTTGTTACCCACTCACCCCATTGTTTGTACTTTGCTAGCAATAAATTACAATGGTGTTGTGTCTTATGCATTTCATGATATTAGATTTTTGGCACAGAACTTATTTTAAATGGAATTATTTGATAAGTTTTGAAAGGCATGGAAGACATTAATCATCAACCAGGGCAGGGTGGGTTTGACACCAGTTACTTTATCTTGCGTAACTATTTGCATGCACGCTCTTACACAGATTGACCACCTCATAAAAAGTTTCTGTTTTAATCCTAATGTAGTTAAAGCTCCATGTCTCCCTTTTGTTGTCATAGATTTATTCAGATTATGATCAAAATCTCCAATGATTTGTCATCGTAAATTCCCAAATGGTATTCTTGGCCATGGATTTTGTGTAATTTATCCCTGTTGGCAGTTCATAGTATGAAGCTCATGCTCAATTATTGTTTTTAAAGGATCCAAGTTTCATTGTAAGGGGAAGAGTAAAATCTAAAGAATGCCATGCCTTGTGATGGTGCAAAAATGTTAATAGAAAATAAAGACATTTTCAGGATATACTGAATGTGTTTTAATGCCGATATTATCATCATATTGCTGACTTTGATGAAATCTGATGAAGGTATGCCAACACATATTTTCAATAAAAGCAGGGCTAGCATTGAAATAGTAAACATTTTTTCAACATTTTCTAACCTCATGAAATTCACGAACAGCCAACAGGTACAGTTCAATCTCTGTAATTTTCCAACCAGTAGCATGAATGGTCTACATGCCGACAATTTCTTGACCTCTGTAGCAAATTTTGATATTATTGTGCAGATGGAAACAGCATAAACTGTACAATTCATTACAAATGTACAATGTTCAATGTGTGGCTTCTGAAATTTGAAATGAAGGTTTGGACAGGGTCAGCATGTTGGAATGTTGCTGCTGAGTCACCTCTACCAGAATGGGTGGGATTTGTGTACACTTTGCAGAAGAGAAGGTAGCACAGGAACGAAGCAGCAGGACAAGTAAGTCCCAAGATTCTTAATTTACTGGGAATTGACGGCCTGTCCACGATATAACATATGATAATCCCCACTAGGAATAGTGGGAATTCTTGCAGCAGTACTTTGTCAACATGTCCCTTCTGGGCAGTTAATGTGATCTCAATTCACCTTAGGCCCTATGCCCAGCCAAAACTTGGCTCAGCTTCATTTCAATGTAAAAAGTCAATGGATAGGAATTCCATCTTCTTTCAGTTTAACTTTACTCTCATATTGCTCCCCTCTGCTCTGGAAACCCAGGCCATTCTATTAAATGTTTATTTTCTGAACTGACACTAACTTACAAAATGTTGTCATTGTCTTTAAAATAGTTCTGGAATTCTATGGCATTACTTTTAATAAATGTTTAGGACATCGATCCTATAGACTATAACCATAACTTACAATAGGATATCATGCACCTGAATGATGGACTTGGTTCATCTGTCATTTGTCTCTTGTTTTGTTTCCCTGTGCATGAGAAGTGAACGTCACTATGATACCATAGGTACCATGACTTCTCATTAGAGAGAGAGAGAAATGACTGGCCATGAATATACCTTGAGAGTCACCATTTTTCAGGTGAGGGGCAAGATTGAGAAGGCAAGGCTTCATGGTAACCTCAACCACTACAGGAATTGACCCCGCACTATTAGCATCACTCTGCAGCTCAAATCAGCTAACTGAGCTCACCAACATCCTGTACAGGTGCACCTGTTATTTCCAGGGTTTTTCAAAAGTGGCTGCATTGTGATTGAAATGGGATGATGCTGGTGGCACTAAGCAATACTTGAGACATTTTTCCCCCACAGTACAATGGGCAAGATGCACCAGCAACAACCAAGTGTGATTGCAAAGGAATATTGGAACTGGAGAAGTTTGTATAGTCCCTGGAGCTTATTCTGTCATTCACTGATACTGTAATTGATCAGTGACCCAACTCCACATTCTTGTCATATTACTAAATAGCTTAGAATAACAAAAAAAATAGTATTGTCAAATTTAGTATTAACTAGCATCAATTGCCATTAGCAGAAGAGAGGGCTAACCCTCTGCTATTCTTTGTTTGTAGTAGTGCTTCCATTTGTGCTGGGCCTAGCTTTAATTGTTAGGCTACATGGTTATAAATTTCTCAAACAACAGCCAATCGCTTTTATCAGTTTCCTTTAACAATATTGAAACTTTGATCAACTTACTATTTAATCTTCTTATTTCCAGGTAATCAAATATTAATTTTCTGTAATGTAACCCTTGTAATTTAGCTATAATTCTAGAACATCTACTTCCAAGGCCAATATATCTTTCATAAGAAAAGACATTCAGAACTGCTCCTAATACTTTAGATATGGTCTAACCAGGGCTTTCATAGATGGTGTACAATTTCTACCTCCTTGTATTCCTGTCCTCTGGATATTAAAAAAAAACATTCTTTTAGCTTTTTGGATTAAGCTGTGTAACTATTCATGTTATTTTACTAATCTCTGTACCTGGGCTCGACATCTCTGAGACCTTTGCTGCTTCTAAATTTACACCATATAAACAGTATCCTGCTCTATCGTTTTTGAATTTGAAATGGTATCCTCACACTTGCTTAGATTAAAATCCATTTGCCACAGTTTGGCTCATTCACTTTATCAATACCTCTCTGTAGTTGCATACTTCCATTGATACTGCTTACGGTACCATTTGTTTTTCTGTCATTGGCAAACTTGGTTATGTGGCTTTCTATCCCATCATCTAGGTTGTTAGTAAATATAGTGAATTGTTTCTTCTCTGACACCATCAATCACATCCTGCCTATTATTCATCTTGCTTTACTCCTTCTGCTTAGCCGATTTTGTAACCAGGTCAATAAGTTGCTTTTAATTCCATGAGCTCCTTCTTTAGCCAATACATTCGTATGAGGAATTTTATCAAATGCTTTCTAGAAATCCATATAAATAACATCATACACATTCCCCCAGTCAGTACATTACTCACTACAAATGGATCAATGTGGCTCATTAAGCACAGTAAATCTATGCTGCCTCCCTCTGTTCAGCTGAAAACCCTGAACTCCTAATTCTTCATTACACCTTGGAAGGGGTGGTGATGGTCTAGTGGTATTATTGCTAGACTGCTAATCTAGAAACCTGGGTTCAAATCCTGCCACAGTAGATAGTGGAATTTGAATTCAATAAAAATCTGGAATTGAGAG